CAGAATCTCCCGTTCACACACACACACACACCCGCCCCCTCCCTCCTTTTTGTACGCAACGGAATAGGTGTGCTTGGCGCTCTGTGGATCGCCCCCGTAGTGCACTACTGGTTCGATGCCCTCGAGGCTGCGACTAAGGACAAGAAAGCCGTGGCCGGCGCCCCTGCCCCCAGCTTCGCCATGAGGATGTTCAAGGCTCTCAAGATGGTGACCCTGGACCAGACCATCGGCGCGCCGCTCATTAACGCGGGGTGAGTTGTCTTTGACGTAGTCGGTTCAAAGGCGGGAGTCATGTTTTACCCTTTTGTACCTTGTTCTTGCCTGGCGCTTCCACGCCCACCGGCTGTCACTCTCGCACGCACGTACCGGTTGCCTCCCCGCCCCGCCACCCGAACCAAACACTCCGAATCGAATCGGATCGAATCGAACACAACTCAATCCAACACAACCCAACACAACCTGTAACCCAACCCAACCGAATCCACCGCCTAACCCAACGCAACCGAACCGAACCGACAGTTTCATGTTCCTGTTCACGTTCGCGACGGCGCTGACGTCGGGCGCCGGCGGCATCGAGTCCGGGAAGAAGGCCGGCACCATGGTCAAGAACGGCATCTGGAGCACCATGCTCGTGTGCTGGAAGCTTTGGCCGATCGCGAACATGATCAACTTCGCGTTCGTGCCGGCCAAGTTGCGAGTGCTCTTCTTGAACTTCGTGGGGTTGGGGTGGAACATTTACTTGTCCGCCGCCGTCAACTAAGAGAACATTTTTTTTTTTTAAATCATTTTTTGGCTTCTGGGAAGAGGCAAGGCGGCGATGCTAGACAAGAATAGCGGCGGAAAGGAAGCAGTGTCGTTTAGTTTTACCACCCGTTCGTATTATACTGGCCATGATGTGTTGTAGTTTGTGATCTGCCTCTCTGTGGACACCGTGTAAGCATCATTCACCCTGTGGGCTTCGTGTGTGTGATGCTGGAGAGATTCTGCACTGCGAAAAGTCCTCGTCCTGCTGGTCCTTGGTCACCACCGCTTGTTTCTGCCGTCGAAGGCGAATAGTTTTGGATATTCCCTGGCCAGGTGCCTTCTCTCGTACCTACCTCTCTTTTTTGGTGCATTCGAGAACTGCCGTGAAAAATACCGAAATATTATTGTTGCTCCGTTTCGCTTTTTGGAACGATCTGTGTACAATTCGCTTTCTGGTTGTACGCAATTTTTGAGAAAGCAAGAAGACTCTACGCTTTTTCCCATTCGTTTTTGGTAGAGGTCGGTTTCCCATCTGGTCAATCAAAATCCTGGAGATGCATGCGCGTCGCTGGGCTTGACATCGGGATGTTTTTCATTTTTTGCTGGCTGTGGCATACTCAAGGGTTTTGGCTCGCTAGATCGGGAAAGACTCGGCGTTTGGCGTTCGTTGTGCATGCTGGTTGGTTCGATAGGCGGTGAGACGAGACTCTGTATGTAGTCAATTTTTTTATCGTTTCGTCTGCTTTTTCTTTTCACTCTATTGTAGTAACGAGTGTTTTCGTGTTCGCCAAGATAGCAAGGTATGCAGTGGGCATGTTGTGTCTACGATACAAACCAGCAGCCTACCAACCGTGTCTGATACCGACACCACAGAGCAGTGTATATTTCTTGTTTTGTGTGAAGGTGCAGGGCTGGAGAGTTAAGATGAGGTTGTGTTGGTACACCTTGTGACGGTACAGGTGTCTTGGTGGCATGCTCGGGTGTTTCGAGCAGGATTATTACTCGGGAGCGAGTCACAAAGCAAATGCACGCCGTGCGGTGATGGTTGGGTGGGGTACTGCCACAACCCCCAAAGTTCGCCACACCGAGCTGTCGGTTTAATGCTGCATGAAGGCTTGGTGTTTTGTTATCTTCGCCATCAGAAAAGAAAAAAAGAGAATCAGCAGAAGGATGCGACAGCCCAAAGGAATAAGAAATCCATTTTAAGAAATTGGCCGACTTCGGCTCGTCCTTCTGACCAGAACAAGAAATGGAATCTCGACCCAACTTTGACGTTTCTTTTATTCGGGCGCTCTCTGTAATGCGGTGAGGACGGTCCTGGAAATCATGGGCTATGCTGGTCGGCGCGGTACTCATGTTCGCCAAGACTCAACCCAGACACACAACCTCGAAAAAACAAACGGGAAAAAGTTGAACGACCGTATGCACAGCAGTCTACTTTTCAAGTAAAACGACGGTCGATGATGTTTTGCGAGTAATTAGTTAGGGTGATTATCACAAGCGAGCGCGGATGGATCTCAAGGCAGCACCGCCTCATCATCTCTCTACACATCAAAACACGTTGGTCGTTCGTGTCGTGCACCTGGAAATAGCGAGAAGGAGTCGTACAGCATTACCCAGCAATAAAATTAGAGTTACCCCACCACCGTACCGAGACACTCAAAAATCAATCCAGAATGAACGGCAAACACTGTAAGTTTTCCAAGCTCTGTACACATCATACGCGCAAACTGCATGTAGCAAAAGTGAACAGGAAGTAGTGGGCCGTCCGCGTCTCTCACACGCTGGGAGCATTTCCACTCCACCTATGCATCCTAAAGTATGTACCCAACAAGGACGCATGCTGAGGTCTCAAAACTTTCAGACGCCCCCAAGCCGCCTCATGGTGTACACGACTTGACCTGCGTGTTGGAACACGCGACAGGTACATCGTCATCGCGAATCTGCTCAGACACGAAAAACATCCCGCCGCCCCAGCTCCCCAGCTATCCAGTCTGCTGCTTGGCGGAAAGCTTGTGAAACACATCGTGTCATCTTCATGAAAAAAACTCTTCTCGCGCCACCCTACAGAAAACATGACCCATACTGCTGTACACACACACACACACACACACACACAACCTGTGCCCGACCCGCCTGCGGCAGTAGAAGCGAAAGGCGTACATATGTAAACAACAATCTGCCGAGTCTTCGTCCCCAGCATAAGGTACCCGCGGTTGGCATTCTCTACTCTCTACTTCTGTACATACACGTGTGCCCCCTCCCCTGGCTGACGAAACGTAGCTTAACCGTTGCCGCCGTGGGTATGGGTGTCGCGCCATCCCACCGTCGTAATTTAACACCACACGGCCGCATGCCCCCGCACAAACCGAACCTACTGTTCCCCGCTGTAGCATCGGCAGTCGGGCTCGCTCGCCTCCTCTCTTGACACGGAGCTTGTTTGTGTGTCACCTCTCGTATCTGACGCGAAGCTTGTTTGTGTGCCACCTCTCGTATCTGACACGAAGCTTGTTTTGGTGTCACCTTTCATCTCTCTTTCTCTCTCTCTCTCTCTCTCTCTCTCTGGACTTGCTCGTGTGGTCACCACTTCTGTCCCCCGCCGCACTCCTGCCAGAACGACGAGCTCGTCGCCAGCTTCACCGCCGCCGCCGCCGCCGCAACCGCCGTCGCCGCTGCCGCCGCCGCCCCGCCCTCCATGGGTTGGGATACCGCGGCGGTCGTAGTAGCGGTGGTAGAACATGACGGTCGGAGCGTAGCGGTGGTAGAGGGCTTCTCAGGCGCCGATGAAATTGCTGCTGCCGGCACGGCAGCCACCTCATTGAGAGCCGGGTCACGCCTGTCCTCCTTCTCCGTCGAACGCTCCTGCGCAAATCGACACATGTGCGTTCTACGTGAATACGCTGTGCTTGACGAGGTAGAACTGGACCTGGGGTGGGGGGGCGTTACTTTTATTGGGAGGTAGAAAACTAAACCCTGCGATGCTTGTCGCGCTCACGCGGACATTCTTGCCAGTGACCACAAGTTACTCACGATATACTGAGTTGTGGTCTAGTTGATGGCTCACCTTCGACAACGCAGCCAGCATTTCGTTCGCCCTTGCGAGCTCCCTCGAAAGCTCTCGGGCCGCCTCCCCCGCCCGCTCCCTCTCCCGCGCCACCGCGGCAAGCCTCTGCTCGTGCGCGCTCACAACATACGCCGCAAACGCTTCCCGAACCTCCGACGCCACATCCTCCCCCGCTAGTAGCTCTTGCTCTGCCGCCGCGCGCCCCTCCGCCCTCCAAACGTCGCGGGACTTCACCAACGCCGCTGCCCCAGCCTCCCCCATCGCCGCTATCGCATCGACCGCCTCTGTACGCGCCACTAGCACCTCCTCACTCAGCGCTAGGCGCTCCCGGTGAGAGCGCTCCAACTTCCCCAGCAAATCCCCGCGCCCTTCCGCGAAGCCGCTCTCCCGAGCCTCTGCCACAGCCTCCAGCTTCAAGGCGTGGGCGGCGGAAAGCCAGCCGTGGGCGGCTTGCCGGAGCTCGGAGAGATCTCTCTCTGCGGCGTCTGCGCGGAGCTTCTGCGGCTGGACCTCGTTCTCGCGGATCTCTGCCGCCAGCTCTCTGCGGGCGTCGTCCTGGCTGTTGTCCAGGAGAAGAACGGGCGAAGCACGCGTGTTAAGGGTGCCGGGTCGAAACCGGTCTGTCTCGAAACGTTGCGGAGTTATTTGTCGTAGGTGGGTCGAACGAGTGCTGTCTAGAAACATCGCGGAGTTATTCTAACACAGAGCCGTCAAGCATGCTGCGAGAATA